GTCAAATGCAACTGTGAGAGGAGAAAAACTTATCAGTGAAACACATGGTTGGAACTAGTCTTCCCTGCTTGTTTTATGTGCCGTGCTTGGAAAGGTAGGGAAACCCCCTGACTCTTCAAGTCCTGGATTTCCTGCAGCAGTTATTGCCATCCTGAGTCTGTAGAAGGCCCCTGGTGGTAATCCTGCTTTTTAAAAGATGTAGCTTGTTGTCTGCATCATTGCTAGCTAGCTCGCAGGCATAGGAGTTTGGAGGAAGGGGAGACAGAGCTAGGCTTGTGTGTGTGCTCTGGGGAAATTTTCCGTATCTGGTATCTGTCAAAAGGAATAATGTTGAACTATTATCAAGTAGTGGATATCTATGGCAAGGACCTTGTCTGTAACAGAATTTCCTGGTGGAGCAATTAAAAAAGTATTTGGTGATCTTTGTACAAACTTAAAGAAATTTATTTTGATGGGAACTGCAGGACAGGAGAGGAAACTTGTGCTGTAGCTAGACTTGGTATGCAGCAAAGAAGATGCTTGCTTTTCAAAACTTAAAGGTCTGTGCTGTGACATCACTAAATATACAGTAGTAGAATAAATGGCAGAAATCATTTATACCTCCTGGTGTTTCAGCACACTGAGCTTTTGGTGTGGCTTGCTTGCTGCAGGTCCTCAACTGTGATAGGAATCAAAAGGAAAACTCACTAGATTAATAAAGATCTGAAATGATCTATGCTGCATATTTTTTTCAGCAGCTGTAGCAAAGATTATTTTGCAGTGCATATATTTGTGAGACAAATAGCACTACTCTGTTAAGAAGCATATTTACATTTGGGGATGACAGGTGGGAAAATGACCAGCCCATGCTACCCAATTCGTGCTATACAGCTTTTTAGCTATACAGAAGCAAAGATAAGGAGGAGTTGTGATATTTGTGATACTTTTCTCTGTACCGACCAACGAGACTAATACTTACCTTTTTTCAGAGTTATGCTTCTAATTTTCCCTTCTTTCAAGGATATCTTTATTGCGACAGATAGGCAAGATAGATCACCACACAAGGGCTTGGATACACACGTTAGTTTAATGACTTATCATTGTCTTACCTGAGTCGTAACCACTGACCATAACGTACTTGAGTTACTGTGAATGGAGATGAAATCTTTTTTCACTGAAGGCTTAAACTAACCTGTTTTACATCTCAGTTGAGTAAGAACAGTTGCATGTGCAATACTGCCCATGCTCAGTATTTCATTAAGCTGAGGTTTCTTAGTCATGAGATCAAGTTCACTTGAAAGAGAGAGTTCTGTGCTTGATATGAGGAAATAGAAAAAAGGGTCATATTCACAAGTTGACATACACGTGTTTTAAATCAAATACACAGAGACGATGGCTTTTCATTTTCATGGTTTATATGGTATTTGTTGAATAGTTTATCTAGTGAAAACTGAGGCTTCAGTCTTTTTTTTTTTTTTGAAACTGAACCAAAATGTAAAACTATCTGCTGTTACGGAATGAAGCTTCATCCTGTCTCTGTAAATAATATTTGCCATAGTAGGGATTTACAGTTTGGGTCTCCTACATTGTAATTTGGCAACAGTTCACTCTGGATGTGTGTTTCTCCCCTGGAATGATATCCTGCGCCAGAGAAGCCTTTGTGGAAGTCACATAGCATCTTCTGTGTTACTCTGGTAGTTTTGGTTTCAATGAACCTGCATCTTCTGATTTTTTTAAAAAGGTTTTGCTGAAAAATACGGTGCATTTAAATTGTAGTTGGGTTACTTGAATTTGTCTTTGCTTGCTTATGCAACGGATTTCAGTTCTGTAAATCTGTATATTTCATATACTATTCCTATTGATTTTATTCCTTGCAGTTATATCTAGGTATTACAGTGCCTTTCAGATTTATTTTTCTTTTTAATTCACAATTTATTAACAGGTTGACTTTATGGTACAAAAACAACTACAAAAATTCATTTCAAGTTCATTATTTTTATTCTTCACATTTATATTTCTTCAAACCTAGAAATTTTAGTTGTCAGGACATAGCTATTTAAAACCTCTCTTAAGGTTGCTCTAGGCTTTCTTGCTGTGAAGTATCCTCTGTAGGATTCTATGGAGTCTCTTCATGTGCCTAAGAAGTGTATGCTGAAAGCTTAGGAGAATGCCTGTAAATGGTTTTAGCTCTTGAAGTTTGAGAAAATGAAGGATGTTTGCTATTGTATGTTGTTTGCGTGGCAAGGTTTCGGGG